CTGGGCCACACTGCCATGGACGTCAGTGAATTACGGGTCAGACGAGAATTTTAAGGCTAGGCAGGCCAACGGAAATACAACGACATCGTAAAGCCTAATGATAAAATTAAAAAAAAATTTAACTATCAGTTCTTCGAAACCCTATGCGACCTAGGGTACATGAAGCAATTGATGATATCATTATTTTTTAAGAATACTAAGGCAGTAAGCGTTGTGTGCTTCCTACGACCCAAATTATATAAACATTACTTTAAACTAGGGTGGGATGTGATAACCATGAAAAAATGCTTTAAAATAAGGATACGGAAATAATTCAGTCTGCCTGGTAAAATTAAATAATATTTCTATTTACCTACCAGGTAGGCCAAAAGTTAGAAAGCAGTCCGCCGAATGAAATCGAAGGAGAGGTCCGCGAGCCAGACTGTTCGGAGGGGAATAAGGTGAGCGATGAGGAAGTCGAAGATGGAGATGTGGTTGGTGAAACAAAGGATCTCGAAGAGGACAGAATAGGAGATGAACCAGAGGAAGATGATAGGGAAGAGGTGGGAGATGAAGCTGTGGAAGTAGATGAAGATTGTGAGTAAGTAGAGATCGAAAGATCTCGGTTGAAAATCCTAGCGCTGCAGAAATCTTGTAAGCGACGCCTGGCTCGCGCCACCGCGGAGGAACGATGTGACATACAGCGTCGAGAGTTAAAAGGGCAAGAATCTTTGCAGCACGTCGAGCAGCTAACTTTGATGCCACAAGGGAAGTGGTGCCTGCGATGTCGTGATAAGCAGCGATGGATAAAATCTTTTAGAAGCAGGCGTCGATTTTTCAGGGCAACTGATTTATTAGCAACCTTGGGTGGCGAGCTGGATTCGACAACTGAGCTGAACAAACGTGCTCCGGAGGATCCGTTGAGAGAGGTGATATCTTTGGCAATAAGCGAGGACCCTTGGTCATGCTGAGAAATGTAAAGAAGTGGGAGTGAAAATTATCAGCGTAGGTAAGTTCAGTTCAGTGGCGAGCTAAGCATTAGCAAATATAGATCCGATAGAGCGGATTGAAGAGAAATTAATAATACTTACCTTGTAAAGACTGGATGACCAAAATTACGGGCTGTTATTGAAGCATAATTGAGAAGAAAAGTAAAGGGTACAAAGATTTCAAGTAGTGACTCGAGGTCTATGATTAATTGTAGGATCTAATACATAAATAGCTTATCTGAGATAGCAGATACAAGCTGGATTGTTGAGGTTTTCTGTGCAAGTGGTTGCTACAATTGTTTCTCTTGGTATAGTCAGGGGTCCCATTGATGGTGAAAGTATATGCTTTCGAAATGTGCTGTCATAATAAAAGAATTCAGGCTCTAAGTGGCTAATTTCCTTCTCAGCAAAGTGATAATAACAGAGAGAAAAAAGGGAAACACAAGAGGTGAAAAATAAGAAAAAATAGCTGAGAAATAGAAGGTGAATTGGCCAAAGTTAATTCAGCCTTGAGGGAAGAGGTCCTAAATCGAAGTCAATAAGAACACAAAATATATGCTCTGAGGTTTGAACGCTAAAAACTGGCTGATGGAAGCGGCGCAAAGGTGTTGTTATCTGATCCAAAGATTTATGCTACGGGGGGCTTTGAATATGAATCTGCACCACAGCAAGTGGGTTGAATATCAGAGGAAGAAAGACCGTACTCGCCCAGCTTCAAGACTCAAACAGTCATCCAACAACCACAAATTAAGGAAGTTAACAATCTGTTTGTCAGCACTACATCCCAGAGCAGGAGATCAGAAATTGTATTTCTAAAAATGTCACTCTTTGTGAGAAGAGAGCCGCTTACGG